CAAATATGGCGATTGGAGGAGGGTTTTCTGCTTGATCTCAAGCGATCGGTGCAAGTCAATGCGAGGGAAGAGGGGGCTTACCACGTACGCGAGGAAGCGAAAGAGAGGAGGTTTTATCGTTGCGAGTGGGAGAATTTTCACATCGGCAAAACTGTCAATTACGATTGCCATATGTTACCCGCAAGTACAATCACGCGAATATTTAAATTACACGATTAAATCGTATTAAAATTAGATTAGAGAGCGAAAGAAATAGAGTCCATAGAGACCGCGTTTGCGGTTAAACTGCACTTCTTGCAAAAATTTTCTTGGACATCAGCATCCAGCCGAGCAATACATTTTCAATTAACAATTTTTTTTTTCCGTCGCTCTCAGATTCGGCTAGGAAAATGTATCAGAAACGCAAAAACGCCATATTCTTCTCATTATATATGCACGCGATTGCGTAGCATCTCTAACTCGCACGAATAATTTCTTCTACTCACTTACGATCGTGCGCTCATTGCAAACAGGTGTTGTTGCGAAACGATTGCCAGGTGTCATGGAGAGTTTTAATTTATGCAGACTGTTAGATATCCTTTCATCTGCAGTTTCTACGATCGGTTTAGCGACAACTTTCTCTCGAAAAATTACTTATTGCACTTTTGGAATTCTCATCGAAAAATATATATGATATGATTATATATCTATAATTAAAAATTTATATTAAAACTTTTTAAAAATGTGCTTAAAATTAACTGAAAAATATCCTTTCTTCTATCTTTTGCTCTTAAATAATTTTTCAAAATAAAATTTTTATTTTTTTTATATTATTGCATATATTACTAAAACAATTTTACTTTTGTTAATTTTTAATTAATGAAAAATAATGGGTAAAAGACATTTAGCAATGGACTTGAACACATCGTGCCTCTTTTTTGATGAAAAACGTCTACGAAATTAGTGAGTTGCTTCATTAAAAGTTGCCAAATTAAAAGTGACGTATATCAAATAATTTATGTAGGAAAGGATATTAAGCAATTTAACGGCAGACAGCCTTATATTTTTCCTTTCAGATTTCTACTACCATGTGGGCGATCCAATTGAACTAGCTGTAAGGTAGTCTTTCATCGCGTCGAGAAATCTTTCTTATTTTCTTTTCTTCGGGTGCTGGTGAACTGTCTTTACTTTTAGCTTAGTCTTTACTTTTAGCTGAATCACTACACTTTACGTTTATTTCTCGAAAACGTAGAACGTATGTTCCATTGAAGGAACTCTCATAGAGATTTCACACATTACGTCGGAAGCTCGAAGCTCTTTGCATTTTGTAATTATTTATTGTCTATTACACGCGTAACGATAGTGATTAACAATTTTAAACTTAATGTTGTAACTCTAATTATTGGAAAATGAATTCTGAGGTAGGAATCTGAGATAAACTAGAAAGTTATTATCGTCGGGCATTCAAGTTCTAAGTGCTCAATTAAACGGCAATTTGGTCTTTATGAAGATTTTTTTTTAAGCGCTAATAATAAATTTGTTCTCGATCGTGCGTACTAATCAGTATCCCGTTGTCTTGATTTTATCATGATGATAATATTCCAGTCCACAAGTAAAGTTTATATTTACATACATTTGATCAAGGATTCATCACTCCATTATGTATTTCCAAGGTATATAAACGCACCTTCCTACTTTGCACTTGCATCGTCTGGTAAATGCGTGTTTTGAACGCGCTACGATCTTGCGTGATCAATTGATCGATCGATTTGTCTTTATTGACTATGGTAACTAATCTCCAACACCAAAATCGTCACCCACGCGCGGTAGTAATTTCATCAGCATCATTGGAACGTACTTCCGCTTGCGCGTCGTTCGAAATTAGGTGGCTGTTTCCAGATGTATCTGGGTCGCGTTACGCAAGGCGCGCAGGTTGGCATTTGCACTGTTGATGAATTATGCGTGAACATACGCTAATGTACATACGTTCAATTTTATATGACAAACATATAGTCAGATCGACCGAAGGTATAGCCCATTGTGCCGGAATTCTTTCTACGTGCGTTGATATTTTATGCAACTATCATCTCCTCTGGCGTCAGTTTTGTGGAGGCGTATATTATATCCCGTATAGGTTAAATCACTCCGCCTACTTGCTCGATGTCCCAATACCTGGCAGCGATATGTCAACAATTACTTTCAACTCTGAGTTTTTTGCCAGCTTTGTATTTTACCCAACTTTGTATTCGTGGAATGGCATTTAAATCCCGCTGCGCGCTCTCTCGCTAACAATGCCTTGTTTTTTTATAGCGCAACGATAATGACATTTTCAGTAAGTTGTAGTTCTGTTTCTTAATACAATATAATGCATCAAATGAATAATAATTTCTTTAAACTTTTATAAATGCGTAAAGGACGGAGTGATATTCTAGAGAATGCATCACTGTAAAATTGAATTAATCTTTTTACAAGTATTTATTGCAGAACTATTTCATCATTTTTCAAATAAAACTGCTCTAGATATATTATTTTTCATCAATATATAATTTTTATATTTAC